AGAGAGAGAGAGAGAAAAAAATGAGAAGACAAAAAGAAGCGTGGTTGCTCGCGGGACAGGATGAGTTCTGGCAGCCGTTCGGTCACCAAGAGCTGATTATCGACAGTCACGGAATAACTCTGGCAAGCAAATATAATTCACGCCGGTGTTTGCATAGCTGGTAATTTATTATCGACCCGGTGAACACGCTGGGCATTCGGGAACGGGAATATGCACGTGATTATTTATGACACTCACGATGCGCTCCGAAACACGGCACGCGTTCGCTTTGCTGCCTTCCAACGACGATTCCTCCAGATCCCCCTCCTCACCCGCCCGAAACTCCAATCTACTTGCGATATATATATATATATATATATATATATATATATATATATATATATATATTATATATATATATATATATATATATATATATATATATATATATATATATAATTAAAACTTGGCGAATAAATATTTCCTCAGGCCATTTCTGGCATATGCTCCTTAGAATCCTAGGAATATTCCAGGGATTTGCATTTGGCAAAATCGTAATATCTATGTCCGTGGTATTTCATATGTAGAAGTACACACGCTATGTACAAGTCTTTGCTGTTTCTTAATTATAAAAGTCTAGTCAATACTAATATATTTTAATTAATTTTATATTTTATTATATTAAATTATTATGCTATAATATAATATTACATATTATAGTATAATAATAAAAATAATGTATAATTAAAATTATCTATTAATTATTAATATAGCATAATATATTTTAATTAATTTTATATTATATTACGTTATAAAATATTAGGTACTAATTAAAAATCTATTAATTAACGTTTATTACATAATTATTACTAAATTAGTATTACATACTAAACTACTTAATTTTACAGTTTAGTCAGTGTAACTACTAAATGTTTGAAAATTTAATGCTGGTGGTGAGGAGTATATAATATATTGAGATTGCATTCGTCTGTGAACATACTTTCCATATACCTATTTATTCAACGTATTATAATATGAAATCTAATCAAACAAACTAATCATTTTAAGGATTTTAGATTAATTGTACGATACTGTGGTATACATTAAATACAAAATTAATCGTTCAATTAATTTTTCCTTCCATCTGAGGGACTAAAGTCCAATCCGTCGCTCTTTTACTCTTAGAATTTCTTTTTTAATGTCCTCGAATCGTTTTCAACGTTCTGAGACTTCCTTCGTTAACGTTTTTAAGCGTCGTTCTTTGTCTCATCGCTGGAATCCCATTTCGACGTCATCGTACTACCTTCTCTCGTTGATTATTTTTTACTGTGCTTACGTACTGCATTCTTGGAATTCGTTATATAAAATTCCCGCCTCCCTCCCCCCACCCCTCCCTCCTGTAAAAAGTAAATTTTTCCAAGTATCTCTTTAGAGTCGACTAATTACCAAATTGGAAAGAGACGGGAGTTAATATCGAAGGATTGCCCTCTCGAGCCAAGGAGTCAAGTTAAAGTGTCAATGACGAGTCCGGATCGCCGCGACGTCGTTCTGGCCGAATGGTGGAACGCGTTCGAGCGACGGAACGAGAAGAATGCAAACCGCGGTAGGGGAAGAAAGGCACCGACTCTAATTGATATAACCAGATAAGAGGCTCGAAGAGAGATAGGAACGCGGCTTGAATTCGAAGGGCCCGAAGGCACGCGAAAGCAAGAGAGAGCCAGGCGAATGAACGGAAGGAGAGAGGAGAGAGGAGCGCGTACTCGCGGAATTCTCTCTTTGTCCGTGCCGAAATTCCATCGGCCGCCGCAAAGAAAAGACAGCCGACTTCGGACGAGCCTAGACTGTCAACCGGCATTTTTTCCCTTTCTTCCATCCGTCTGACGGATTCATTATGTAATTCGCGTAATGGCGGACTGCTCGAGCCACCCCTTCTCAAGACGTCTTGGAATTCAATTGTTTCAAAGTCGCGGAAACTCCGACGACGGGGACCGAATAGGGTGAGAGAAACGAGGACGTTTCTCTCCGTTTCTCCTACGCCTAGTTTCTTCTTCCTTCCATCCCTCTCCTGTACAGGGTGGCGAAAAAAAGGTAGGCGACATTTATAAGGAGCTTGCGAACTTCCACGAACAATCTAATACACCGGTAAGTTATCGTTAAGTCGATGAATCGAACGAGACGAGACTTTCTCCCTGTTCCTTTCTATACCTTTGCTTCTATACCTTTGTGTTTCTTACTCTGAGGAAACGAATGACCATAGCATTCCGGCTGTTATATATCTATAACGTCGCTCGTTCGTGAAATGCGAGGGAAATAGAGAGAAAAGTTTGCCGATTGGTTCATTAATCTACGCAGCAGTTGGTGTATTCCAAAAGGCACTTTCGTAAAAGGACTTTTTCATTATCCTAATGCTAAACTATTTTATTACTTGACAAATTCTCTTTAGATTAAGAAGATTCAAGAAGCTCTCCAAAATGATGAAAAGCCTTGTGACGTTAATACGTTGACGTGCTACTAAATTGATCAAAGTGTCCGAAGACACTTACATAGAAACAGTAAATGTCGCTTCTTTTCTTTAACACCCTGTATACGTTTACGTCCCTTAATTTTACGTGTGTACGTGCGTCTTCTGTGTTCAACGGGTGTTCAAACCGGCGCAAAAGACGCCGTCTATGGTACGGCTATACGAGATCCAGCGACCAGAGAAAATAATACCCAGACCTCTCTCCCAAGGCGACCTTTCAAAGCGGCTACTCAACTTCGCAATTTCGTTTATTGCGTAGTTTGCAAGAGGCTGCGTATCGCCGTGGTTAAATCCGGAGAGAGAACTCTTCTCCTTTTTTTTTTCCTTCTCCCCTTTCTTTCTCTCCCTTTTCCAAGTTTGGCTTTTCCTTGGCTCTGCAGCGTGTGTATATACGCTCACAGTTTATTAAATCCTACTCCCTACCGTCACTGTTCGCGCATTCAACCCCTTTTTGTTTATTCAATGATGCATTTTCCATTTAAGAGGGAGAAAGATTGCAGTTCCTTGTTGTTATATGCCGTGGTAGTTTCTTCTGATTACGTTGTTCTGTCGTTGTTGAATTACGTATAAACTCACGTAAGTTTATTCCTAATTACTATCTCCGATTCAAGTACTTATTATAACCCATCCACTCTGCGTTGAGAAAATAATTCTCTCTGCTGTCCCATCGGTTCTTCCGTCCTGTTGTTTCCTCTGATCAGGTTGCTTCATCTTTACTTGACCACGAATAAATGTTTCTCGATCTGAAGTTCAAAATACAGGAATAACCATATAGTACTCTTAACTACTTCAGATAGAAACTTTCTACTCACCGATGAGGAACTCCTGCTAACGGTACTTGAAAAGACTATCAACTTTCAGGCGGTCAGAAAGTCTTCGACCGGAGCGAAGATCGTAAGAAGATAAGATGAGAAAAACGATGGGGGATCGTCCGATTATCCGCTGGCGAATTTCTCCGCGAATTATTTTAATATTTACACCATAGAAGGAATCCTTGATGATATGGGCAGAATGTAGCAAGTAGCAAACCAAATCGGAAACAAAGAGTATAGTTCTGATCCGGAGAAAACGATTCAGTAACAGTCGTCACTGTTTCCAAAAAGGAAAATACTGCCGTAACCGAGTCTTGTAACTCGGCTGGAAATACGAGCGGCATGGCGTAGATATTGGATAAAATGCAGTCCTGGGAAAAATGCAGAAACAACCGGCGGGCGAGCCGGCCCTTAATTTTGAAATTTTTCAAAGCAGCCTCAGGCTACTTTTCGGATTGTTTATTAAAGGCGTGTCCAAACTTCCTCTACCGTAGAATCTGGTTATTTAGTGACGTGTTTGCGTCTGCCTCGGGTGTATAGGGTGATTATTTTAAAACATACTCTTACAAGTGTTTTATAGCCACAGCGTGGTGAAATATTGAAGTCACCATCTATCTCTTACGTTGTAAAGTCGTGTCACACTCATCTTTGCATTATGCGTTTGTAAGAAGTTAATTTTCACTTATTATTAATTGTAATAATTGTATTCTTCTAACACTGAAAAGTATCTCAAGTTTCGACAAAAAAATATGAAGAAATTTTCACCGTGTATGTACAATTCCCGGTTTATGATAAAATGAAAACAAGATTGGAATGTACAAATTTGAAGATCGCAGAAAAATCACGTCAGAAGTTAAGATGGCCGACCTTTATCGATGTTCGAATATTTTTCTTAACGATCAGCCTGTTATGTTTACGGATTTAAAAGTTGCGAATATAATGTTAAAGAACTTTTATCTCTAAGACTGAGATAAATTCTTATTATACACTAATCCAAATATATTAATATTTATATTAATATTTATTAAGTTTAAACTTACCGAGATTTCTGGATCAAAATGGTGGCCAGCCATTGAGGCGAGGTAGATGTACAGCGTCAAATGACAACCTTGGGACGTTGGTATAAAGGAAAGCTGTGGTCGAAAAACCGTCGACGTCAGAACGGAAGACCTGAAGGATAAAATGGAAAGGTCAAGCCACGGATATCCGGAGGGGACGATGCAACACTAGGGAATTGGATGGGAAAAAAGATAAAGAGGAAGGAATCGAGACCAACCTTTCTTTACGCTTCTTTGTTTTGTCTTTGACACATCTTCTCACCCCCATCTCCTTAAGAGGGTGGAAATCCGATTGAACGTGAGGGTGCAAGTGACAGCTGAAATTGTTACACCCCAACGGTTGAACACCGTTCGATTTTCGAAGAAACAAGCAGGACAAATTGCTTCTGTGGCTTCGTTAAAATTAATCGAGAAACACGGGACTGTTTCAAATGCTGCGTCGTTCGATCTATCGACACGCTGAAGCGAACTTGCGCGCCCTCTATGAATGACTTGTTGAACTAAAAAAAAACTGTGTTTGAAATTCAAATCAAATTGACCAAGAAAATAACCGCGTCTATTCTATACGCAAATGAAACGCGAGTTTTTGAAAATCAGAAGCTTCGTTAAACAATATATTGTCCATTTTATTCGATTACCTTTTGCCATCTTTTAGAGAACTTCGTGATTCCGCGTTCAAGAAAGTTCTTTTTCGATAAAAAAATGTTTCAAGAACGATTCGATGTCCTTATCAATACTGAAATTTAATAAACCAATTTTGCCGTAGTTTAAAGGTTTCTTCACTATACAGATAAGATAATTTTTTATATGCTTGCATTTTTTTCCTTCCCGAAGATACTATAACAAAATATGATGGGAATATTCCTTTTTAATTTTCCATTTTGAAATCCACGCCAAACAAACAATTGTTAACGAGGCCGTGCATTTTCTTTTTTTAAAACAAGTTTAAACAATCAAATTACACAATGAGTTTGCGGTTTCAAATGAGATTAGTTACATTTTAAGATATACATGTATACTTCATCTGTTAGGAAATTACATTTTGGGCCAGCCCAATAGAAACAAAGACATATACAAACTGACTACAAAAAATATTGGGATTTATATTGTTACTATAACAATGGAATGCAGACTCTAACGAAAGACTTTTTATTGGAAAGAGTTTATATGATTTATATTACTTTTTATAATCACTGTATAAGTCTAATTGTAATCATCGAACAAGTCGGAAATATGATTCGTATAAGCTATTTATTTCTCGCTTATAAATCATATATAAATAAGAGCTTCCATCTCATTATATACACACTAAAATAAAAAAAAGTCTTCCACACCTTGTGTCGTAACATTACCCCCACCAAGGTTTCATCTGACAAGTGAAATAACGACCAGCGTCAATGACCAGAAGGACCAGAAGATCTTTTAGAGGGTTAAAGGAATCAATAATTTAACAGCGACCGAACTCCGTCAATCTCGAGGAAGGAATCGTGTTCGTTGGTCGAAACTTCATATGTTAAACATCTCATATAACTGGCACACAGACAATACACGCACACGCGCACACACACACACACTTATCCGTTCAAGATTCTGTACATGGTAACATCTTCTCTAACTCTCGTAAAAGTTGTGCAATATGTTGTATTAACATAGAACCAGTCATCGTGACTGGTCGTAATGTTTTACTGTAACACTGTTTATACAAATTGGTAAGTGTTTCTGACCTGAAATATATACATACAAATTAAATACATTACAAGGCAATATCAAAAATAAATCAAAATAATATATGCAGAAAAAACGTACTCTTTCTTGCTGCTATTGCAATTCTTAGTAACAAATAGTTTTGTTAAAGATCGTAAAATAAATTGTAACCGCTGTTCCAATAATATCACTAAATTTTCTTCATCTTCTATTAATTTTTGTTCATCAATCGCTTTCCCTTCTTCGATAACATCTTTCCCTATTTTATTACTAACAGTATTTACGTTTTCAACCTTTTGTTTTGAAGAACCATTTCTCTCGCATAATATTTCAATAATAGGTCTACATTGTAGAATTAACTGAAGACCATTTTGGTATGCTTTTAATTTACCATTAAATGTTGTAGCACCTGAAATATAGTTTTAAGCAATAAAAAAAGATATGAAAGTTATTAATCAAATTAAAATGAAAAAATGCATACAACGCGCTTGATGTTCAGCTAAAGCAACTCTTTCCATTTGCACCGTCAGAAACTCCGTAGTTTGTTCCAAAGCTAACAAAAGCTTTGCAGCTTTATCATAATATAATTTACACAGTTGCAAGCTTGTTTTTCTTTTAATATTATCTGTATCTGGTTCGTATTCTCTGTATACACGGTGATACAAAGATGCGAGTCGATGTTGAATTGTTGCAGCGCGAAATTGGTAGACTGGTTGTCTTGGCCCGGCAGTTTCAATATCACAATGTTTCAAAGCTTTCTGTAGAATATCAACAACTTCTCGTTCTAATTCTTCTTCAGTCTGAAATTATAAGGGAAAACATTATTGTACAAAGTTATTTTCCATTAAATATAAATAAGTTGAAATGAATGTACTTTGCATCCAGTTATAGGATAATCTTGTAACAATGTAGCCATGGTAAATAAAGTAGTAGACAAATCCCACGTAATAGTATCCCAAATCATAGAATTCGATTTCCTCGAACCTAAAACTTGCAGGGCTTTCTGATAACTAGCGAGCGCTTTATTGTAAAAATGACGTTCTTGAGTGTTCTGTTTAATGTGCATGTGTGCGCAAAGTCGCATAAGTCTTCCTGTATTTGAGTGTAAAAGTGCTAAATTTGCTTCGTCGTGAACAGTTTCAAATGCTTTCACGCCTGCTTCCAAATGAGTTAACGAACGTGTAAGTAACGCTGTTACAGCATCTGAAGAACTTATAGAGTCTTCTCCTAAATTTTCTTGTTGATATCGCGCTAAAAACATGAGTATAACTTTACATTCAAGCATGTATCTTTTTTTAAATATAATAAAGTTAAAAGGAGTACGTACTTCCAGCTTGATTCATATAAAGTACACCTAACTCGTTATGAATATTTCCTAATCGTCTTAAAAGGTTGTTTCTATCCATATCTATCGGTTCTAACGACAATGCTTTTTCATAACATTTATAAGACGCTACTAAAGTAGATTCTAAACTTTCTAAATGTTGTGGCAATAATTCAGCACCATCTGCAAATAGAAATATGGATTTAAATAGTAATCTACAAGATTATTTTTTATATGCTTTTACATACTCATATCTAAATCTTCCATTTGACATATTTCTTGGACAATCCTCTCTTCAATTTCGTTCTTCACCTCGTAATCTCTTCTATGTTTCTCGACGTTACACCAATCTTGCACAGCCATAAAACAACAATCTCCAGCACGACCTAATAGATAGCTAATAGACTTATCGTTCCGTATACTACAAAATATTTCCAATATTTTCTGGCAACGTAGGACTGCTAACATATATCTCAATGAGGCTCCGTAATTTCTATTAGCATATTCATTTTCAGCAAGTACAGCAAATATCAATGATGCCTTTTCGTATAATAAGGTTTTTAAGTGAATGTTCCAACTAATATTATTGTTTTTCTGAGGTGCCTGCCATGTGGGCAAAGTTTCAACTTTAAGCTTGCATAGTAGTGCTTTTGGTTCAATCTCGTGAGTTTCCACTTTTGAAATAACTTTTTCAGGTTTCTTTGCTTTCTTCTGTTTCAATTTTCTTTTATGACTAAGACTACTGTTCACAGAACTGACTTCAGAGTCGGTTTCTTTTTTATTTTCCTTTAACGAGATGTAAGGCATAGGAATTGCCTGGAAAGGTTTAGCCATATTTAAATGATTTTCCTCGTATTCTCTTTTCTTTTTTTCTTCTTCTTCCTGTTTCTTTCGTTCTTCTTCAGAATTATCGTCAATCGGAAAATACTGTAGGCATTCGAGTCCGTGATAAACATGATCTAAAGCTGCTAAACATCTTTCTTCGATGGTACCCGA